TTTCAGGAGGAAAAGCATATTTGAGTTAATGTGAGTGCTCTGTTCAAATAAGACCGCACCCATATTTAAATCTCTCATTTCTGTTTACAAGAGAACAAGGTAGCAGACGAAGGTTTGCTACTTGACATTCCAGAATACTTTTTTCTTAGCAATTGTTTCAGTGTATCCTTGTTAAACAAAGAAAGAACAGGCTCAAACAAAACTGGAGTAATTTACTTTCTACTGTATTTGATAGGTATGCATGAATAATGCTTTTAACTCTCTGACATTCAAAAGAAAAGGCTAAAGAAACTAAGACACATTAAGATAAGAAAATCAAATGAAAACACTGAAAGATAAAGATGGTTTCCAAATGGAAGACTCTAACTATGTTGGCTTTCAAAATTACCAGCCTGTGACCACAAAAGAAATCTTATACTCTGTGATAAAAGCAACTTTGGGAGAGAGAAAAAAAAAAAATCTATGCAGCTGGGCATGAACCATCAATCTGGATGTGCAAGCGCTGAATCACATTGCTATGACTGAATAACAGGCAAACAATATCCAATCTAAGATAAAAGTATCAAGTGCATGCTTTTAGGAGCCCAATGCCTAAATCGTAAAAGGTATTCAAGTATTTAAAAGAGGTATCAAGATTTTCAGAAGTGTCCATAAGCCAAACTTCCTTTGGAAAAAAAAAAAAAAACAGGCCCTGTGGAACACCACTGGGAAACCAGCAGGTAAGAAATGTGCAAATGTGTACCATCCAAAGGTGATGTCCCTGGAAACTCAGGAGTTAAGTTTCCAAAATAGGGAAGTTTGCTCCAGGACACTGATATTTAAGCCCCTGCATAGTAAAATGATCCTTTTGATAAAATGTGCCAAGATAGACCAAATGCTATTGCAAGAGCAAGCAAGAGCACTGAATATTCCTATTTTGGAATTATACTGTGTTAAGGTTTTGTATTCACAGAATACACCAACCTAAGCAAATTAGGGACTTATGGAGGTCTTCAAAGCAGGGCCAACTTTAAAATTAGACCGCATTCCTCAAGGCCATGTCCAGCTGAATTTTGCATGCCTCCAGGGATGGAGACTTCACAGCCTCTTGGGCAACCTGTTCCAGTGCACTATTCTCCCAGTGAGGAACTTGTCCCTTGTATCTAATTGCAATTTTCCTTCCTGCAACTTGTGACTGTTGCCTCTTGGCCTTCCAGTGCCTACTTCTGAGAAGAGTGTGTTTTCCTTTATAACCCCTTTACTGCAAAGGTGTGTTGCTGACTCATGTTCAGCTTGTTTTCCATTAGGACCCCCAGATCCTTTTCTGCAGAGCTGTTCCCCCCATATTGTGCTGTCGAATGGCCTAATTCTGTCACAAGTGCAGGAATCTGGATGTACCTTTGTTGCACTTCATGAGGTCCCTGTTGACCTATTCCTCTAGCCTGGCCAGGTCCCTCTGAACGGAGGCTCTGCTCACCAGAATGTCAACTGCTGTCCCCCCAGTTCGTGTCATGTGTAGATGTGGTGAGAGTGCAATTCCCCTACTTCACCCAGATTGTATAATCCAATCTTGTCCTAGTGCTTTGTTGTTCTGCAACATTATCTGAATTAACTTGTTCTTCACCATTTCCCTTTAGAATAGCTCACAGGAATGCTGCTCCGTTCATCTAACAGAATAAACAGCCCTGTGATAGAGAGAAACATCTAAAAAAAATTCTGGGCCAAATCCTTATCTAGTATAAATTCCTCAGATTTCTAATCAGCTTATACTAAATGAAGATCCAGGCTATTCATTCAAAATCTAGAGTGCCAGTAATGTATTTAAAAATCAGCAGGTCGTTTATTATAACTAGTTCTCAATGCTGGATGTATTAGTTCACTGTTGGCATAAACATCTCCTCGAGGAGCACAAGGAACTAGGCTACTTCTGCCTCACTGCTGAGTTAGAACAAGCAAACAAAAACATGCCGAGTGTTTCCATGCTTAGATATATGTGCTTTTGAAGAAAGAATTCCTGTTATTTGAATGCATTTATTACCAGTTGAGCCTTCCTAATCTCTAGATACCTCTTGGGCTTAGAAAAATACGCATTTTTACAAGAAAATATTTTTTATAATCCTTAAAATAAATTTCTTATGCAACAGCATAATCTAAAAAATACTCACAATGGGAGCAAAGTCAGGAAAACACTACCACCCATTAAAACCCCACCCTCCTGCAGTCTTTGACCATTAGCCGAGGCCATCATTGCAGCCTCCCTTAATTTGACCCAAGGAGCTAATACCATTTACTTGAGTTCATTTTTCATGACAGAAACACTCAATATAGGAGACTTCCCTTGGAAAAGGGAATCAGAGATAAACAACAGCGCCTTTTCCATGACATCTATGCCAGATCATTCAAAGTTCACAACAAACTCTATTCCACAAACAGGAGCCCACTTCAAGTCAACTTGCAAGAGGGCTGTTAAATAAATCTAGCTCATGCAGATTTAGTCACCTTATTGCTCCTAAGTAGACTAGGAAATCAGAAACATCATGTGTGAGATATTCTAATCATACTGGACACGGTAAGACCGCTTTCAGGTTTGATAGTTGATATCACAACTGGTAACACAAGTTGATAACACAACTGGTTTAGGTCTCCTTTCACTGATACCACCCATACCCTGCCCACAGCCATCACACCCAGGAGCCTGTCCTGATTTGCAGCAGTGAGAGCACGGTGAGGCTTCAGCCTGCAAAACTGATCAGAATAATGCTGGAATATTAGAACATGGATTTTTTCTTAAAAGATTTTCCTAGATAAATCACTCCCCAGTTTGGATAATCCATGGGCTTAGCAGTGCTATCACCTTCACCATTTCTGTAGGCATAATCCAGCCCTTTCACAAGTGACATTGGCTGTGCAGGATGAACACAGAAGATCAGCCGGCAACCAATTCTGCTCGGAGACAGCACTTGCCTCCTAGAGATCTGTGAGCATCGATTCATACCCTCTAGCGAATGTGACATGGAGGTCAAGAAAAGGTGAAATCTAGCTTAGTACCTGCTTCCACTATTCCCGGTGTTGCACCCAAAAGCTTGGAGATACCAAGATATGCTTAGTGGGTCTTCTACTAACAGATGGGGGGTGTGCATGTCCGTGTGTCTAATCCTGCTCTGTTCCTGTGCAAACCTATAAACCCACCTAGCGTTGGGCTCCTGGAGTCCTGGGTCTTGCCCAAGCCTGAAATCTGCTGAACACACAAGTCAGCAACTAAGTTACAATCTTCTTCTTCTGCCACAAGAGGACATAATGATAAACTGCTTTTCTATGCAAAGCTACTTATTTCCAGCAATTCTGTAATGCAGAAAGAAGGGACGGGGAGGAGGGGAAGAGGCCAGCAGGGAAGGCAACAGTTTTTGCCTGTCGCTCAACTCTGCATATGGTTTGAATGTGTAGATGAGCTGCTGCCTCTGTTTTTCCAGTAGTTATAATCCTATTAAAATGCTGCTAATTTAATTGTTTAAAAATCTACCAATCCCTAATAAATGTAAGATGGTCTACAAAGGAGTCCTTCCTGCAGACACACATGTTTAACATACTGCAGCAATCAGCAGGATCAGCCTGGTCCCCTTATCGCTTTTCTGGTTCAGGTTTGAAGCAGATCTTGTTTATTGTTCTTTTTTGCAAACCTCCGTGAGATCTTTGAAGTGGTCGGGCTCCTTGAGCCATCAGGCACTGGGCTGCACCTGGTGCGAGGCAGACTGAGCAACTCCAATGTTAAACAAACAGCGATCCCAGCTGAGGACAGTGTATGAGTTACGGATAATGGCAGCCAGGACAGGCATGATCCATCCAAAGCAAACTATATGTTGTCTTAAAAAAGCAACTTGGAGCTGCATTTGCTATTCAGACCAGTCTGATATGTTTAAACAAAGACTCTATTCTTTAATATACACACACTCACATATATATATATATATATGAAAGAATCCTTTATAGGATGTGTCCAGATGAGTATTCCTCCAACTCCCTGCTCCTTTTTCTGGACTCATCATGCTTTTTATTATTGCTATCATGACTTGCTATACCCCAGGCTTAAAACAGCACGTTTGAGGCTTTTTTTTCCTTACAATCAAATCAATACCACTTGCTGGGTAATCAAGCGACAAGCACACTGAAGTATTTAAGAACATAACACCATTTCCAAAATATACTACACGTGTAAGAATTTGGTAAATGGTTTAAAAAAAAATTGAACTTTAATGAGGAACTTTCTGCTACTTCATGGTTTTTCTTCTTTTGTTTTTCTTTAAGATTAAAGTTTCTTTCTTCTTTTCTTGTCACATTATCAAGTTAAAAATATCTCTTCGTCTTAATAGTAATTCACACAAAGATACATTAGTTTAATAATTTAGGTGAGTCTTTATTCGGTCCTGTCATTACGCAGTCAAAAAAATCAACCTCATGAATTTCACCTGAACATCAACTTCAGGATTTGGCCTTTGGAAACTAAGCTTTCCTTTACAATAAATTTTATCTACATATCCCCAGCTTATACTACTACTCTCTGAGAGAGGTGGAAGCTGCAGCAAATTGGTAACACAGTGATCATGGATAACACAGCAAAGGAGAGGCTGAGTAAGACAATGGACCAGAAACATAAGTCCATATATTTGCGAGACAAATGGAGCTTTTTTATAATACTCAAGATTATTCTAGGAGGGTGGTTTTTATAGGAATTAAAAAAACAAGTTTCCACCCGCCCCGTTCTGCCTTTCAATATCCTGTATAATTATCCAAAACTAATGGGTTTCATCAGCATCTTTGTAAAACACCATTTGGTCAGACATTCGCCAGGTTTTGGCTATTCTTTTTTAGTTAAATTGCTTACATGCTAGTGTTTTGAAATAAAACATAATATATAATGTTATTCCTCTCTTCTTTCATTGCTATTACTTGGGCACAGGAATATCTAAGATGGTAAACAAACAGGACAAAGACTTGCAAAACCATCAAGCAAATATCATTCCTACCTCCAGTCTGGTCCTGTCCACATCCTTAGGCAATTTCACACGAACTCGGTTTGTTACAATAAGTGTTTCATAAGGATAAATCTGTTAAAAAGACAAAAGCATATGAACTCTAGCCAAATCTGATTCTGATGTGTGGAAATGACAGTGTGGGGAACTTACTAATTTAAACGGTACATACTTGCATCCTGATTTGACAAATATTTCACTGGGACAAAAATTAATGAAATAAAATAAAAAAAGGAACATATGTAACCTTGCTAGGAAGTGCTGAATTTGATTGTTCTTCCAGGGTTGGAAAAGCCCTTCTTACCTTGTATTCTGCAAGAGAATGAGAACAGGTTCACAGTTTAGAATTTATAGGCTGCTTTTGGAGTCACCGTAACAAACATCTAGGTACATCAGCAATTTGTTGTGCTATTACATTTCTCCTAGGTTTTCAATAGTTGTTGGATAACTGCATGCATAATAAGCATTTGACCCCCATGCTCTGAGCGCCTATAACACTATTACCGAAGCAATAGTCCTCAAAATCAAAGGCTTATTACAGAAAATCCATCTCCTGATGCCATTGGGTTACACAGTGAGTATGCCTGGCAAAATTGGGAATTTCTTTTTACAGGAGGCTTTTGTTCAGAGTTAAGCCAGTCTGTCATCCAAAAGTCCTGCCCTTATTGTTCTTTACTGAAAATAGTTAAAATATACGGATTATTACAGGCATGTCAGTTTGGGAACATATATGAAAATCATTGAGTTAATACAATATTCCAAGATGCCAATATCCTGCACTTGGGCTGACTGCAGTGGGAATAACGATAGTGAAGAAAAGATGATTTGGGAATGTGGGGATGATGATTCCTGGATCTAACCTAGCACAAGAGTATTCTAATTAGGTCAGTATATGACTCTATATGATATGACTACCACAACGTCAACTATTCACACTGATGATTAAATGCAACCAGGATAGCCAGTATGTTTTCACAGACCTTTTTATGGTCTGAAATGAAATCACAGATAAGTCTACTTTCAAAATCTGTACTTTAAACTATTCAAACATAGAGACAAAGATTTTTATCAACACAGAGGCAAGAAGTGGATCATGATAGTAAGATTTTTAAAATGAGATTAAGTGTCTTGGAAACAAAATCCTACTCTTCCTCATGAGTAGATGCATGTTCCTAAATTGCTCAGCTCTTTTGAAAATTCCAACCCAAGTTCCATATTAAGTTCACAGTCCACTTAAACTGTAATAAAAAATTAATGCAAATAAATTCTGGTTTTTGAATTCTGCATATTTTAACGTCACTGTAGCACAAATAAGAAGCACAATTGATTTTTTTATTAAATACATCTTGAAGGAGTGATTATCTTAAATTTCTTCCTCTCTTTGATATGAGACCACCACCTACTAAGCAAAGAGAACCAGAGGCTGTTGCCACATACTGAGGATACTGGGGCTGACTCAACACGGTTGCACCACTTCAGTCAGGCCTTTATGTTTGGTCAGATAAAAAGAAGATTCTCTGAGATAAACATGATACTGATCTGGGTCTCTATCTAGTCATTATTACGTAAACTATGGGAAGATCTCAGAATAGTAACCCTTTATGGCAAGATGTTAATGAGCATCCTCAAAGGAAGAAAACATGAATTGGAGTGGAAATGATATGGCAATATACCTTTCATCCCCCAGCTTGCCTCCTGGTCCGTTTCGTATTGGCCCATATTTTCAGGCTGAAAGAGAAAGAAAGAAGCAATATAGTAGCAAAATACACTGCAAAATCACTCTGCACATTGTTGAGAGAAAAAAGAAAATGTGTTGGTACCACACAATCAAAATATAGATCCTTGTAAGAGAGAAAGAGAATAAAGTCTCATTCAAACTTGACCCAATTGCTCAAGGCAGGAGTCCGGAGTGCTCACAACACCCATGGATCTATGACTGCAGAGATGGAGGCGAGGATGGAGTGTCGAGTGAATGCCTGGGTCCTCGGAGGCACTGCAGGTGCAGTTTGCTGCCTACGCTGTGAACTCCCACAGACCAGCAAAAGCTGGAGCTCGAATGGCACTCACAGAGGCAACTGCAGTCTTGTATCAACTCACCGCACCCCTAAGCCCTTGGGACGTTTTTGAGCTCTGCCTCCTCACAGCTTTCAGTGAGGCAGAAAGGTGTCAGAAAGCCACCAACCACCCCCATTTGAAGACCTCGCAGCAAGGCTAGATTGAAATTGTCATGTGCCTTTCCCTGCAATGCAGACGTCTTACTGTCATCACAAATCACTTGTGCTGCACTGAAACTTGTCTCATTCTGCTTTCTGCTTCACACTGCTGATGCCACTAAGACCAGGGAGAACTGTGCGTATATGCCATCGCTTTGTTTGACCCACTGTCTTTTTCTTTTGCTGGCAAATGCTACGATGAAAAACATTACAGGAGATCACAAAAGCACTATTATATGAATTTTCTTCCCAAGTGTCACTTTTGCCTGCTAGGGTATCAACAGTGCACACAGCTACGCTCACAATAACCTGCAAGGCTCCTTATTGTTTGGTTTTGGTTTATTTTGTTATGCGGCACTGGGAGAGCTGATTAAAAATAACAAACCACAAAAGCTGGTATGAACCTGCAATCCAAACCAAGGATACCCATTCTGAGAAGAATTTTGGCCTGAAGGATTTGATCACGAGCAACCTTTTCAACTTTCCTAGTTTTCGGCTGTGAAGTTGGACCCTTTAGGCGGGGCAAATGCTGCCACCTGCTGCTTTCATAGTACATCGCATGGCTTCAGCCCACAAGCGCAGCCAACTACACTGCTGATGGAGTTTGCTTTGGCCTCATCTGCGTGAAGCCTTTTGATGGCTTTGGTGCCTCACCAGCGCAGTGGCTGGGCGCAAGGTGGTCCCTCGCTTGCTTCGGGTTACTGGTAACAGTTATTCTGAAAAGTTAGAAAAAAGCTGTTGACAGGTTTATCTAGACCCTTTAAAATTCCTAAATCGTATTCGATCAAGTTGCAGTGCCAGTGGTTCTTTCAGAGAGGGATTCACACAGTCAGGTATTGAACCAACACAGCCACAATTAGTCTTGTAATATTAACTCAAAGCGATGGACATTTCAGTAGCTACTGAAAAGTTCATTTAGCTACTCTCTGACAGTTGCTTTCTTGTAGCTCCTTCCAATGACCTGCAGTTTGACTCATCACTGGGGAAGTTTAATCCTGCTCATGTACTTTGCAGCTTCCACATCTTCCTTTGGAGAAAGGAGGGCATTTGAATGAGGTCCTGTCCATGTAATTTAGACACAAATCAATCTTCAAAATATAAGTGCACGTGCCTATGTATTGCCAACTTATCACTATTAATCATAGTGGGTTTGTACCTAAAAATATAAGCCATGAACTGAGAACCCATAATGCTAGATGTCAGAAAGAGAGACCACAGTGGGAAAGATGCCTTTTTCCTAAAGACTTACAAAAATCACAAAAAAGGATTAGAAAAAGAATGCCTAGTCTGATCTGATCATAATTTTGTTAATGCATTTTGCTTTCCAGATTGCTGCCTGCCATTCTCTCTGTATTGCTCCCTCCCCGCCTTAGAAGTATGATGACTGTCTGTGTATATACATATATATATATAACACACACATGCATACTGGAAAAAAACAGAACAGATGGTTCAAGAAATGCAATGGATGTGGGCTGCTCCACCTTTGCTCTAAGGTCATTACTTGCCTAATTATAGGCCTAACCCTCTCTATCATTAATTCAAGCTACACTGTGATCTATTAATATGTGCAGCCTGTACATTTTGGACCTTTGTTTGTTTTGGGAGGAGACTCAAGATTCCTAATGCTCATGATGTGCACAATTAAAAGGAGAAGCCTCAGTCTGTCTTACTCTTGCAGACAAACTGCAACCCACATAGGGTATGAATCCATCAGACAGGGCTGGCCGCCAAAACACCTTTGAAGTGTTATTACTGTGTAGATTTTCAACTCGTTACTAAGCTGCCTATTTATGATACCCTGTTGCCTGGAGAATGCATTTAAATGTATACTTACCTGATGTAAGCCATTCTTTCCATAGCCAGGTAGAGAAGCAGATTTAGAATATGGAAATCCTGTAAAAGACATAACATACAGCTATATTTTTTGTAAATCCTTTACAGCCTACTAAAACACAGAATTCAAGAAAACATCCAGAAACAGCAATTACAAGATCAATATGTACATTCTATTAACGGGATGAAATATAACTGAGCAATGCTCATCTTTTCTCCATATTTAATGTACATGAACATGTGTTACAATGTCTATAAAGAGCATGCCAGGATGCAATCACCTTACCAGGCATGGCATGAAGAGAGTTGTAGGACTCACGTTACGGAAGCCTTATGCAGCTACATGATGCAAAGCAGATTTGAGAGCTTGCGAAATCCCTGCCCTCCAACTTGGTGTTAAACCATGACTTGAAAATGGGATTAAAGGTACCGTCATTTTAGAGTTACAACACTTCTGATCATGATGTATGTGGTCTGGTTTTGGTTTTGTTTCTTAAAAAAGAAGGGTTGGTATCCTACCACTTAAAAAAAGCCACAAAAAATTTTTTGCTTTCTTTAAAACTTCTTCTACTGCTTCAAGTGGAAAAAAGCATAAATGAAGATATGGCAATGGATAAAGTAAATCAGTGAGAATATAAACACTCAAGAGAAAGAAAGTTTTAAGATAGATAAAATTGGCAAAGTGGTGTTACCGTGAACAAACTGGATGTAATATGGTGATGAAACTGTGTGTGGTCACTGTGAAACAACTGAAGAGACTTACTTTTGATATTGAGAGTCTAACAAGAAGGTTTGGAAGTTCCTTTTGTCAGTGAAAGGACAAAAAGTGTTTCAGATTAGTTTTTGGTTAATAAAAATAATGCTGCATAGAAGTGACAAGCCGAATCAGTTTAAATTAATCAGAAGATGAACAAACATGTGTGTAATAAACATTCTTGATTCCAGTACAGGAAACTTTGGTAAATCGATGCAAAGAGTTACAGAAGTCAGTTAGCTCAAAGAACTGAATGTACAATGCTTCTTTCTGTCAGAAATGTTAGCAATCTGTGTCCAAAGGGGAATGCAGGAAGGGAATCCAGACCCCACTGGATTAATAAATACCCTAAGGAGATGATTAGGAATAAGCATACAGAAAGAAAAAACAAAAGATGGATCAGCAAAGACCTCACGATGTGCTGAGATAAAGTGAGAACTGCCAGAAGTCAAGCTGAGTTAAACACTGAAAATGATATTAAAACAAATAGCAAAGGGTTCTCCAGCTATCCAAATAAAAAGAGAACAAGCAAAGAAGAAATGGGATCACTGGGAGTTATGCTATGTCAGTACACAGCAGAGGTGAAAGGCAACCTAGGTAGGGCTCCAACACTGCAGTATTTTACCTCCATTTTTAGGAACGAAAGGTAGAGTACTGAGCAAGGAGGGAAAGCTAACAGAATAAGGGTATGCCAATGAATCACAGTCGTGATGGAAACATAATTCAAAGCACTTAATGTATTTAACCAGGGAGCGATAAGCTCACATCGAACTGCAAATCCAATACCATTGGAGAACAGCAACTATGGTTTTTATATTTAAGAGGGGAAAAAGAGAATGAGGAGCTACCAGTTTGCTTCCAACAGAAAACTTAAGGAAAGACTGAACAAAAACATTGAAGTAAACAGAAAATCAATTATATTCACATGGATTTTAACTGGTTTGACACGTTAAAGACACAGTGCCAGACATGCTTTGTAGTTTTCCTTGTTAAGAGAAATGATTTCCGCACAACATAAATTTTATTGGATCTCATCTAATGTGATATCATTACAGTGTTTGGTATTTGGCCGCCCATGGAATTAAATGCATATCTGGAGCAGATGGACTCAGAGGAATGATAGGGTCAGTAAGGAAATAATGAAGTGTAAGAAATGGGTAGTGAGAACTGAGCAGAGCTGATAGAGAAAAGTGTCAGCATGGACTGGTGTTGAGTTGAAATTGCCTCATGTTTTCACTATTAAACTTTGCTGTCTACACAAAGTTATAAAGCACTGACAATATAGAGGAAGATTGGGATATCACGAAGAACTGGGATAACCTTGAACATTAGTGTAATAGAAATGGGATAAAATTTAGTAATTCACAAGAAAAGTCATGCACTTGTGGACTAATAAATACCCCAAACTTCTACTGTTTAAGCTGAGAGCTCATAATTTGGAAATGATGGGGAAGGAGACAGGCTTAGGTACACAGCTCAATCACAAGATGACTTTGAGTTGCTAATGTAAGTGTAAAAAAAAGCAGAAGTTGGAAATGTCTGTCCTGATACATATAAAATATGGAAATAATAGTATTTTCAGGCAGTGACAGGAGATCCTGGAGGAATCCTTTGTGATGTTCTTGTTCATCAGTGTTCAAGTGGGTTAAATTAACTCCAGTAGACCAGTGGCCTTCAGGATAACTGGGGCAATGAAAGCTCATCGCAGGAAAGGCGGCTTGAAAAACTTGATTTACTTAAGCTAGTAAAATGAAGATGATCTATAAAAGGAAGAGATGTTTTAGAAACATAATCAACCAGCATCTGAGGAGTGTATAAACTACACGCAGAACTTTTGTTTTCAGCCCCGCAGGGGGTTTCCACGTCCAATACAGGGATGTAGTGATGAATACTGAATTACATGGATCACTTAGCTATTCCAGTTTGGAAACTAGAAACTTATCATTGCCTGTGATCTGAATGGTAGTGACACTGGAGGGCAAAGCGTATAATACCTGTGAGATAGAATGAATGTATCTGCAACAAAACTATCATCTCTGCTCCTGCCTGGAAAAAGATGCTGGTGTTGAACATCAGTGCGGAGTTCAATTTCTTGCCCTCTTGGCTACAGCGAAGATGGGTGAGACAGTTTTGTTCTATCGCCAAATACTACTTACTCAGTTACCAAGGTAAAATGCACTAAGGTAAAGACCAGTTTGAAATCAAACACAATTCACTTTAGGAGATAGCAGCTGAGGAGCTGCCTCCCAGGCTGCCTGGGCTGAGCCACATCCGCAGGCACAAGCGACATCGTGTGGCTGGCTGGAAAAAATCCAAGAGGCAAATAAAGCCGAAATAGCCCGAAACAAGCTAGCAAGACCCACTGACTCCAGTGGGAACTGTATTTCACTTAGCTTCTGTTTCCCATGAACTGTGTTACAAAGTTAAACACACTTACTTTGCTTCTCTTTTTTTTAAAATAAAGGAAAAGTATAACACTAAAAGCCAACAACCACATACTGATTATTACCACATCCAACTGCAGTTGTACCGTTACAGTACATTTTCTGGAGTAACTGGCCAAGATAAAGCAATCTTCCTCTCTAATTAGGCACTATCTGAGCATCAGCTACTCTCTGCATCGATACAGCTCCTGCTTTTTCCAGGATGACATTCACTCTAACCTGGATATTCTGAGGTTGCCTCTCAGCACATCAGGGACACATGAACACCTTGCTAGATGTCTGCTTTCCTAAATATGTGACACTTGAAATCATGAATTATGGTAAATTATTAACTATTAAACATCTACATTTACAGAAACAAGACAAATTTACACAGGTAGATATAAGGAGATGCAAGCTCCTCTCTAGATACCTGCTAATTACACAAGCCTCATACTGATGTGCTTTGTTGTTAGATGTATTTGTCTGGGCATATAGCTAACATAATGCGGCTAAGTATCTTCCAGAGCAGAAAAACCCTTCTCTGGTTTGCTCAAAGGCTGGACAGATGAACACAGGGCTGTTTGCACAGTATGTCTGTACACATCACCAGAGATTTGCAGTCTGATGCCTGCTAACTTCCTCCACTCTGCATGTAACCACTTGGCACCAAACCTATACCCAAAAAGTTTATTTTCTCTGATACTCACTGACTATGCCACAGAGATAGGGCTGATGTCAGAATTCTCAACCCTAAGTGCAAGAGGCAGAGAAGCTACTCTTCCATGGCCAACAGACATGTGACAGACTATAAATTAAAAATTATAATTATAAAAATTATAAGTA